TACTATAAGTTAGATACAAAGGTCTAGATATTATTCAAATTCATCAATAGTGGAATTTGAATCTCAGATTTCTTATATAGCAGTCTAACAACTTAACTACTATGTTAAGATTACTAGACCTTTAAAATTTACTATTTTATAAAATTTATAAAATTGTTTATTATTAATTAATAGGCCTATTAGATCTAATTAGACTTGCTTTTAAAACTCAAATCTAGCTCAAAATTTAGTAAGCCCAATTCAAGCCCAGTTTATAATTTAAAGAACTTAAAAATTTGAGCCCAAACTAGGCCTAAGCCTGTCTAGCTTATAATTTCTAGATTTAGTCTAGCCTATTTTGTATTCTACTATATTATGATTAAATAATTATTAATAAATTTTATACTAATTTAAATATATTGTTAATAATTCTAACAATAATAACTATAATTACTGTGCCAGTTAAATGAGATAAACTGTCAATAAAGTAATTTATTTTTAAAATAAATTTGTCTTAATTAATTATTTGCAAAACAAATTTATTACAAATTAGATAGCAGTATTAAATCTAAATATGTTTGCAAACTTTCAAATTAAATTTAAATTAAACTTAGACTAGCTTTAGAAGTTAATTATCAGACCTGAACTAAACTGAGTTTAAAAATAGTTTGAGTTTAAGTTTAATTTGTAATCTTTTAAAATTTAGATTTTTTAAAATTCTGATTTTTTAGAATTTTAACCTCAGTATTATAATTCTTTTAGAATTGTGACCTATTTAAAATTGTAACTCTTTTAGAATTATGATCCTTTTAGAATTATGATCTATTCAGAATTGTAACTCTTTTAAGATTATAACTCTTTTAGGATTATGACTCTTTCAGAATTATGACTTTTTTAAAATTGTGATTCTTTCAAGATTCTTTCTTTTAAAATTAGATTCTTTCAAGATTGTAATTCTTTTAAAATTATAATCTTTCAAAATTGTAATCTTTTAAGATAGTGATTTTTTAGAATTTAAATTTTCAAGATATTTTATTTTCAGAATTTTGTTTTTTAAAGATTTAGTATATTAGGATTTAGTATCTTCAAGATTTTGATCTTTAGAATATTAACCTAAACTTGTAAAAAAGAATTTAATAGTTTGGTTATTGTTTAAAAGAAGAAAATTGTAGTATATTAGAAATTTGTTATAATATAGTAGTAGTCTTTATTGTTTTAATTTAATTAATTGTAAGACTACTTTATAAGTATCTTCTACAAGATTAAGAGATATTAGTAGATTTGTAAAAGATAAGCTTATTAAAAAGGAATTTTTTTTTTAACTTGAGCAATCTTGCTTATCATTTATTAGAGAAAATATCATTAGATACATATAAAATATATATCATAAGATACAAATAAGATACAAATTATATAAGTCTTAAAACTAATCTATAATTAAATTGTAATTTTGAACTTACTTAGCTGCCAAATAGTGCTCAGATGTAATTTGCTATAGAAGTTATTTTTCTCTTCTGAGTAACTCTTCTCAAAGAAGATATTATTCTTGAATTAACAAAGGTGACTTCAGACTTTATCAAAATTCTAGGTCCCTTCTAAACTAGTTAATACTAAGTTACAAGTAGTTAATACCTAGTCTCAAGATAGAAAAAAATAAAATTGTTACTAATCTAAAAGCACTAAACTTACTAACAAAGAAAAACTTGCATCAAGTTATAAAAACTTTGTTAGGCAGTAATATAATAAAAGGGATAGAATATAAAAAGAAACCAAAAAAAGTAACCAAATACCCTATAACCTAAATTAGGTTTAAAAATTTTAAGTTGCATAACTTGTAATATATTTTAAGTAATTCTCTATCTAGTGTACAATCTAGTTTTAGAATTTAGGACAAGTAGTATTAAGGTTGTATTCTAGACTAAACAATAAACAAAGCATATAAATTATTATTATACAAAGTATGTGACTTTGTCAATAAACAAAACATGTGACTATGTTTACTACATAAGGTTGCACATCCATAGAGTAATTCTAAAAATAGAAGAAGTAAATAATACTAATCTTTTGTAGGAGGGAACTTAGATTTCCTACTTTTGTTAAAAAAAAAAGAAGACTAAAAGGAAAAAGCTTGTAATATATTATTGTTTCATAGAGTTCAAAAGAGTGTGTAGACAAAATAATTTATTATTCCTCTTCTTAAGTCTTCTTTTACTAACTTTATTAACAAAAAGTGACTTTGCGCATCTTTACTAAAATTTTTTATATAAGGGCTTTCTCCTCCTGCAAGTTATTTTATATAATATCACTTTTAGCTTGTATGTTAAATATACAAAGAAGTTTCTGAGAGTAAGTAGTTGACCTCTGTAAAAACTATTATATTGTAAAAGAAATTTTTTCATCTTTCTATAATAAATTTTTGTTTTTTTGCTTTTTTGAATTTTGGAAAAAAGAATCATCAGAAAGAGTTTTTGTATTGAAAAGAAATTTGTTTAATTTGTTTAGTTTGTAAGAATAATAAATTTACTATTTCAACTAGTTTAAAATTAATATTAAATTTTCTTTTAGGATTTTTTTAGCTTTTGAAATTGCTATTGCTTTATAGAATTCTATTATTAGTTTTGTATATTAGTATATTATTAAGTATAATATCATAATAGAAGATTATATATACTAAGAAGTATATATTAATTAGCTATTTTGTTAAAGCTTTTATAGCTTCTTCTTTGTTGAGAAAATTGATTTTATAGTTTTGTATAGTTTGATTATAATAAAGTATTAGATATTAATAGAAATAGTAATTATAGTATTTAGTATTTATTTTAACTTTGTTAGCTTTACAAATATATTTTTCTATTTTGTTAGCAAATTCATTAAAAGTTTGAATAGGAATTTTAGTTTTAAGAGTTGCTTTATATTCTCTATCAATATAGAAAATTAAGAGGTCTAGAGATAGAAATTTATATTATTTGTCTTTATCTGATAAATAAATAATCTTTGAGTATTTTATTACTGCTTAATATAGTTAGAGTTATAATATTTGTTAGTTTGTTTTTTTTTCTTTTTTTGAGCTATAAATTATCTTAAAGATATTTAGAATTTTTATTTGAGTATATAAGAATATAATAATTCGTTAGACAAGTTGCTTCATATTAATGTTCTTGTAGTGATTTAGATATTTTTATTTTATATTTTTTTAAAAGAAGTTTAGTTAGATAAAGAATAAAGTATTGTTAAATTTGATATTTGAGATATGTAAAAGTTTTTTGTTTGTCAATAAATATGTTAAATTAGTGAGAGTAAGCTAAAAAAACTTTTTCAAACTAGCTACTAAAGTTGCTAAATAAGTTTTTTAAGAATAAAATATTAAATTTGTCAAGAAAAAAGATTTTAAGAATATTAAAGAGTAGTTTAATATTGAATCTTAGATCTAAGAAGATAGTAAAATATTCTTGCTCTTGGTTAGTATATTTGTTTTAGAATTGATTTTAAATCTTTTAGATCTAAGCTTGAAGTCTTCATTAAATTTTGTGTAATTAATTAATTAGAAATTATTTGTTAAGTAAAGATATAGTCATACTATATTTAAGTATATTTGAAGATAGTTTCTATTTTATATAGTAGAATTGTAATAAAAGATATAAAGATTTCTTTATAATTTATCTTAGTAAACAGTATAGTTGTAAATTTAACTAAGAAAATCTTTTAATATAAATTTAAAGAGATCAAAATAAATTGTTGTATTAGAGTTTATATCTGAGTTTGCTTAATAAATTAATTTAGTTAAGAATTCAGATCTTTAGTTTATTATTGTATAGATAAAATATTTAAATAATGTTCTAGAGATAAAATTTGAAAAATTGTCTTTAAGAAAACTAAACAATTGAAATAATAGTTAAGTTTAAAATTTAATGTTTGGTTTCATTTCCTCTAAGATCAGAAAATTTGCAAGCTAGTTAAATATTAGGTTTGCTTTAGGTTTATTGGATTTAGTAGAAATAGTTTAAGATTATGATAAGTCTATAGTTAAAGCTTTAAAGTAAGAAGCATTATTATTTTGAGTAGATAAACTTGGTTTGGTAAGAATATTTTTTCCTTTAAGATTTAATGTTTTTGATAAATCAATTTTCATGTTGTTATTCAAGTTTGTTTGTGAAGTTTGATCTTTGGTATTTGCATTTGGTGTTAAGTTTTGGGTTAGGTTGGTTTGTACAAAGGTAGTAAGATCAATTTCTATTTCTGATAATACTTCCTTTGTATTAGTAGTAAGAGATAAACAGAGTATCATAATTTGCATAAAATAAGTGATTTAGTAATTAGAATTTTCCCTTTAAAAGAGATTATTTGGCCAGCTTTGAAGTCAAACAATTTTAAATCTGGCCAAATGATCTGCAAGCCGATATCTAAGTATTTTCTTTTAGGTAAAAGTAAAAATATTGAGTTTCATTAAAACTTTTGTATTCAATTAGACCTTGGATTCTAATAAGACTTTCGAATTACGATAATTTCGACTTCCGATATGACTTTCGAGTTTCGTGATTCGAAAAACAAGTAATTTTGTCGAAAGTACTTTCGAGATACTTTCCATATTGAGAATGTCGAAAGTATCGACTTTTGAGAGGCACCCTTAGTCAAATGACTAGTTTACTGGCAATTTTTGCGTTTGCATTGCATTAGAAATTTTTTTTTAAATAAATTGGTTTGTTAGAAATTCCGATGTAATGATGAATTAGGATTAAATGAATTGAATTTTTTATTTGTAAATTTGTAAATATCTTTAGTCACAAATTTTTAAATAAACTCATTTCTAAAGAGCTCAATAACAGTTGTAGTATACAAACAGCGCTTTTAAGAATTAAAAATATTCTAATATATATTATCTGTTATATAACATATTCGTTAAGACAATAACGTATGTGCCTATATATACTTAAGTATTTACCTTGTAATTTAATTATGAATTTCGGTTTCAAAAATTTTTTTATATACAAATATTTGATTATGAAGATATCATATAAATAATATTAATTTTGCTGTAGATCTGAAATAAATAGCACCTCAACAAAACGATAAAATGAAAACCAAATCTCAATACTTTTTGATATTGATGTTGAAGAAAATATAGACTGCTTAGTTGAATTTTGTGAAGTTTTTTCTTGAATGGGATCATAAAGATCAAGTATTTCAGTATCCAAATCCGTACGTGCTCTTCGGTCTCGCTCCAAATGACCTCTGTGTTCATTATAAATGTTAACATGTGAACAGAATTCTTCGTCGTCATCATCGAACTGCATCTGACGACTGTAAATTAGCAGTTTATTTTTTCTTATAGTTTCTGATGTAGAATTGGAATGACAATCCATCTTTGTGGGCTAAGTTATTTGCGTAGAATTAATATGAGAAAATATAGATAATCTGACAATATTTTTGAATTCAAAATTTTGACAAAAATTTGTAAAATGGAGTTTTAAAAGATTTTGTTGATGAGAATGCTTTTATAGAGAGAATTTCTATACAATAAAACGGTAACCTTATAGGAGAAATAAAATTCTATTTTAGTCCATGATTCGACATTTTCTATAATTAGCGAATTACAACATTAACGATCCACAAGCCAAGCCACTGAAGTAGATAAACGGCTGATAAGACTAGTTCATTAAGAATCAACTTTAAATTGTGCTTACGCGTTAATAATCAGTAAATATTACAGAATATTAAATAGAGAATTTGATATATGCATGCATTATGATCAATCATTGCTTAATATAGATACAAAGGGATACAGTAAAGTAATAATAATTAAAAAGAACCTGCATTTTGTATCGGTTGATTTCTACACTAGATGACAAATGATCGTAAAGCGCCAATAATTCGAAAATGGTTAATTTGATCTCTGCATTATTTAAGGATTAATAGTTCTAAAAAGTTTGTACTAGTTTGTTAATTTTTAGGGTAATTTTAACCAGAGTAAAATTTACTAGCACTAAAAAAAAAAAAACCTTAAAATAACCATTATATAAGTCTGATTTTAATTTAATTCATATCGATATCTATGTCTGAGATAAAATTCTTTGATAATAATAAAATAACTCTATCGCTGTTTTCAAATTAGTGCAATTATATAATTTATGAATCCCGCATATTATTATTGTGTTAACAATAGTAATTTTATGATCGTCTAATTCAGAACAGTGATAAATAAATTCTAATTTAAATACAGTATTTTAAGCACTTATAATTACTAATTCCCCCACACTTCTGATTACTGTACTAATTACTCACTTACCGGAGTATTTATATTATTAATCAAAAAAATTTTCAAGTAAAAATTTTTCGCTGTTAGGCTAGAGTTAGAATTTTTATTATTGCGCAGAAGACAATTTCATAGATTGAATTTATTATATTTTTACATTTTTTTTTGCGTTTGGCTCCGATAAGTGAATAATTAGTACAGCCAATCAAAAGTGGGAAGAAATTAGGGCATCCATAACGATAATTTAATGGTTTAATTAAATTCTCTAATAATTACAACATGTAATCGCTACGATCCTTATCATCCTTAATGAAATTCTCCTGCAGATACTAATCATTTTAATCAATAGTCGCATTTTTAACCCCAAAAATTCACATGCATTGCCTGCGCATTTACGATCACACAAATATACCAAAAATCCGACAAAGGATTCACTTGGGGCGCCCCAAATTACTCACTAGTCGGAATGAAATATTTAACCCATTTCTGGACTTAAACATTTGATTTCTGAAGAATCCAAAAGTGAGCAAAGAAATAAAAGATTAGAAAAGTTATATATTTGTAAATGTGTCATTGGCAGAAAGTTCTTGCATGGATAATTAGGTCTACATTTGAAAAAAAGCACTTGCTCAAACATCCTCAAGAGGAGGTATTACATAATACCCAACGTGCTATTATCAACTATACACCTAGGTGTCAATACGAAATGAGAATGTAAAAAATTTCGTCATATAATAAAGATAAAGGAACTAACTTTGTAATAATGAATATAGTAATTCATTAACCTCAATTAATATCGACGTTTGATACTAATTAACGATTTCATTAGACGTATAGCGTTCATTCAGCACTTTCAATATTAATCGGCAATTGTACAATCATTATTAGTCACTCTCCATACCAGCCTTAAGGGCCAAGTCGACTTAAAGCAGCACATAAGTCGACTAAAGGAGACATATAATAAATATAGTAAATAAATCAATGTTCTATAACTGCATAATAAATTTATCTGTGGTGCAATACAAGTCACGCGAGATTTACTGTGTTGCAAGTGGAGAGCTACCCCAGAAGGACCATGAAAGATCGGCGCAGATGCACCAATCAGATCTCTTCTAACAATCGACTCTCTCTATGAAACCACCTTCTGCGCACTAACAAAAAAAATTCTCCGCAAAATTTTAGTATAGAAAAAAACCCTAACATCGGTCATAACCCTAACTCTAACGTAAGTTTTATTACTTTAAAAATTCGATTATTTTATTAGTGTAGATCATCTGATTGGTGCATAGTCGATCTTTCATGGTCCTGCAGGGGTAGCTCAAGTGGAGACAGACAGAAAATTCAAAGTTTTTGATAATTGTACTATAAATTCGATTAAAAAAAAAAAAAAAAAACGGAATTTTGTATTGCTTTGCATCCTCCGCTACGCTCCGGACAATTCATAAAAATGATAATAATAAGCACATGTTATCAGTTTGAGAAAACACTGTGTATTTATCTCTGATGATTTATGAATATATTTATTACCCAAAAGTGAGTTTTTTAATTTTAATTTTATCGGACTTAGCTTCCTTGAAGAATATAATAATAATATGATTGATAACTACATTGTCGGTCAGAATCTATATATTAAAATTTTGAGCATATCTAGCTGTGGCAAGCCCTTTCACATTTGTCACGCATCGAAAAAGATAGATTTAATATTAAGTTGCATCAAAATGCATCAGATAAAAATAACATATAACGAACAATAAAATACAGTACAATAGCTCTTAAATTATTTACAATTCTTTGGCTTTTCTTAAATTACTTTTTTCTATCTCACGAATACTATATTACGCTTCACCAATGAAAATTTCTTTTCATCGCTGAGCTAAAGATTGAATTAAATATTATTTTATTTGTAAAAACATTTAATAGATCAAGATATCGTGTATTATGTGTTTGCTACTAAAAAGTAAATAGTGTATTAAAAAATTGTTAAATCTAACCATTACGGCGCGTTTATGAAATTTGTGCATTAACCCAACATAGTAGGTGCGTCATTTATTATTGTTTTTTGACTATTTCTTATTGTAAATCACATGATAAACGTCTAACCCATCTTCCCACATATTTTTATATGCTTTTTATGTGGGAAGATGGGTTAGACGTTTATCATGTGATTTACAATAAGAAATAGTCAAAAAACAATAATAAATGACGCTGCACAAATTTCATAAACGCGCCGTAATGTATATCGGTCAAGGGTTGCAGCACATATAAAATTAGGGTCGGAGTAGAATCACCAATCAAATCACGAATTTTTTGTTGACCCGGATCAGCCCGGCGAAGCAAAAAAAATGAAAAATGCAAAAAAACAGCTATCTAAACCTGTCTTGATGCACAAATAAAAAATGTCGGGAAGGTAATTTTACCTATATACCTGTTAACCCTAACCCTAACCCTAAAGTAAATAATGATTTTATCGATTTTGTGTAACCTACTCCGTCCCCTATATAAGAACAGGGGGTTACCAAAATAGTAAATACAAAATGTCACATGCTAATCGACCAATCAATAATAAGAAATAAAATTTTCATTTTCATTTCAAGCTTAATTCGATTTTATCATAAGGTAAGTAAGCATACTCTTATCTATTCATTATCATCGTTACAGAAAATCTATATGGTATACAGTATATATTTGATTATATATAACAAAAACCCGAACATCTTGTTCGTAATACCAATTGCTTTATTAAAACCTTTAAAATTCTAATATGTACATGCTCGTGTATATTGGATATGGATTCTTTATTACATTCTAAAAAAATTACATCTCGATAATAAAAAAAAGATATAAACTATTGTATTTAAACTTTAATATAACGAATAAAATAAACATAAAAAAGCTTATATACCAACGTTTATCAAAGTTTACTACTCACCTTAGTTTTTTTTTTTTTGCGCAACGAACTAAATTTTGACAGCCTAGTAATAGTATATTTTATATATTATTTCGGTTCCGATATATTTTCATTGTAGTATAAAAGTTGGTGGATTCAAGTGGATTCAACTGATATTGAGGTGTTACATGCCAATGATTTACAAACATAGTGCAGCACTATATGAATAGCGCACTAAGTAAGATTTTTGATCATTTTTTTGAAAAAATTTACATAGTAATTTTATTATAAAATCGGTGTATTTCGTTCTAATAAAGAAAATTTAATTATATAATTTGTAAATGATATATTGATAGCATAGCTTTAAATCTATGTAGAGATATTTTCTAATTTATTGTTAAAATTATAAATAAATAAATTTTCATAGTAAAATATTCGTTATTTGTATGTTTAAACTACCGAGATCTCTAAAATTCACATATTAATATAAAATATGGTCACATAGGTTTAAAATTATGCTATTTTATTATCATTTGC